ATCCGTTGTATTGTATACCTAGACGAATTGCTGATCTTCTGCGAGGACCCCTCCAAACTCAAGTGTCAGATGCGCTCCGCGGTCTCATTGTTTGAACACCTGGGGTTCGTGGTCAATTTGGAGAAATCAGCCCTCGACCTGTCCCAGACAGTGGAGTTCTTGGGTTTCGAAGTGGATGCGAAAGATTGTGTTCTTCGCCTACCGCTGGCCAAGATAACAACCATTCGAAAGGAAATAAGGAGGATCCTGCGGCAAGACCGGATCCCTCTATGTTTGTTATCTCACGTGGTGGGTCTCCTCTCTGCCTCGATACAGGCAATCTACCCAGGCCTGCTTCACTACAGGGCCATGCAATGGCTGAAGGAGCGTTTTTTATGCAGGAAACCATCCTACGACCAGATGATCTCCCTGTCTCCGGACAGAAAGACCGAACTGCGCTGGTGGCTCCTGCACATGTCAGCCTGGAACAGCAAGGCGATATTCGGACTGACATAGGGTGCGAGCCTTTGGGGCTGGGGTGCCACCTGGGGGTCCGTTGTTGGACAAGGAATCTGAGTTCCACATCAACTGCTCGGTCTCGAACACTGTCAGAGGTGACGAAGGAGATCTACAGCTTCTGCTTCCAACACACCATCACTCTACAAGCGGAATATCTACCGGGGGAGTCGAACCTGATGGCGGATTGGTTCTCCAGACATTGGAGAGATGCCAGCGATTGGAAACTCCTTTCGGCCTATCTTCCTCGAACTCACGAATCAGAGGGTCCCATTCACGGTGGATCTATGCGCCTCCAGGACGAACTACCAGATCCAGACTTACTTCAGCTGGCTCCCCGACCCAGCATGCTCGGTGGTGGATGCCTTTCTCCAAGTGCGGCCTTCGCAGGGAGCGTATGCTTTTCCTCCGTTCGCTATGATTCCCAGGGTGTTGCTGCAAGTTCGACGTCAGCGTGTGTCTTTGGTGTTGCTGACTCCTCTATGGCAAGCCTGGTTTCCAGAGCTCTTGGATCTCTCCCATCAGTATCCTCTACTCTTACCGTCCCCTCGGATGCTCCTCTCGAACTCCCGGGGAAATCTGCACCCCCTAGTGCGGGACGACCGCCTGCACTTGGTGGCCTGAACTCTTTCAGGGGTACCTGGAATGTCGAGGCGTTATCGCAATCAGCTAAAGACCTTCTCTGGGATTCCTGTGCTGGTGTCGTTGGTGCCTGGAATGGGATACCGATCCCTTTACAGGCCCTGTAACTACCGTGCTGATTTTTTTTGCCTCACCTCTTCGACCTGGGACGATCGTATCGTTCAGTTAATGTGGCGAGTTCTGCTATCTCAGCGGCGCCTGTCCCACTTAGAGGTTTTCCCATCGGTCAGGATCTGCTTGCCTGCAGACTGCTTCATGAGATGAGGCTAGCACGACCACCGGTGCCCAAGTATTCCTCCCTCTGGGACGTACGCTCGGTTTTATCGTTCCTACGGGATTGGCCTGATAATCAGGACCTTTCCTTTCGTCAGCTTTCGGCCAAATTTTCCCTCTTACTGTGTCTTGTCTCATTAAGAAGTGTTTCTAATGTCCGGGCCTACGATGTCGACGCTTTTTCCCTTTCCCCGGAGGGGGTCACCTTCAAGGTTGTTAGACGTACCAAGTCGGATTCGACGACTGTTTTTTACCCTTATTTCCGTGATTCACCAAAACTCTGTGTAGCGAAGGCTCTGGCTCGTTATGTGGCAATTACCGCTCAGCTTCAGTCATCACATTCTGGCCAGTTGTTGATTTCGTATGTCAGACCCCACAAACCGGTCTCGTTAGATAAGATGGTTATTGACGCCGCAGCTTCTGGGGCTTTCATGGCCTTTTATGGATTCCTTACTTTTTTGTCTTTGGTGTTCTCTCTATGTTAATGTGCTGCTGTGGAGTTCTAGTAAAGAGAGACTTAAGCAAATATTTGCCTCCTGTCATTAATAAAATTAAGATTATAGTTACACTAAAGCTAGTATAATCTACAATTGCTGCCTCTTTTAGATTCACTCAGCTTAACAGCCAGGAAGTCATAGGACTGATAGTCTGATTGACAGCCAAGGGGTGGGGGTGTAACAAGGTTAATTTATTAAAGAGTCAATTTCAATTGAAATCTGCACTTTTTTGTAAAATGCAAAACGAGAACACGGTCTTTACACATAAAGTCCTCCAGCAAGCCCTCTAAAAGTCCCTTTAAGGATATTGATGCTGTTTAGAGGAAAAAAATCACTACTAATAATAGAAATGCTATTTTATAATAATAGAGACTTGCCCAATAAGTTACAAACTTGCTCATTGTAAGGAGCATTAAAGTATTCCAGATTAGACACTGCCTGTTATACAATATTGCATAATATTATAGCTGACAAGTAGAAATTTGTTAATTTGTTTAATTCTTCCTTTTAACTTCCTGTTCTCTTGATACGAATACCTTGAATTTTGACTCAAATATTTACTACGGATAACATATCTCAAGCTACAGTGCAAGATATGCTTTCATTCTACTTAATAGACTTGTGCACAACAGAAAAATTCACTCTGGGGAACCAGCTCAAAGATAACAGATTTTTGGGATAGCAAAATTTCGGGCATTTGGCAGCTTGGCCAAAAAAGTTTTGGAAAAATGAATTGGATTAACAAAAATATGTGAGATAACCTCTTGTTTAATGCCACAGGCAGAACCCCAAATCACGAATCATACGACTGTACTTGTCTGTTGCACGAGTCATTTGTTTCATGGTGTCCATTATTCCATTCACCCGAGAATCTGTCTATTCACCTCGAGAATCTGTCCATTCACCTTGAGAACCTGTAGGCCTCCCAAATTTCCTGAATATGGACCGCACCGACCTGGGGGCTCAAGATTTGAGTAACCTGCAGGAGGGAAGCGCACAACGCTCCCTTTCTGCCAGTCACTCAGTGTAGCATGGTGCGGGCAGCAGACCGCAATAAAGGAGCATCTGTTTCCTGTATCCGGCCGGTCCAACAGGAAGTGCTCACTGAGAGAGAACTTCCTGTCAGTCCGGCCGGGTACAGGAAACAGAAGCTTCTGTACTGCTGTAGTCCACCCGTGCCGCCTGGCCACGCTACAAAGATAGGTAGGACCACTAAGAGGGGGGGAGAGGTAGGACCACTAAGGGGGATGGGGAGAAGTAGGACCACTAAGGAGGGGGGGATGAGGAGGAGATCGAGGACCACTAAGGTGGTGGGGGAGAGGGGAAGGACCACTAAAGGGGGGGGGGTAGGGAGAGGAACACTAGGGGGAGAGGTAGGACCACTAAGAGTGGGGGGAGAGGCAGGACCACTAAGAGGGGGGGAGAATTAGAGAAAGGACCACTTAGGTGGTGGGGGAGAGGGAGGACCACTAAGGGGGAAGGAGAGAGAGAGAGATTGCTTCCAATCAACCAATCAGGTGTTGTTATGAGTCAAATTACACAGCATGGGAAAATTCAAAATACTTTCCCACGCTGTGTAAAATGACACAGAGCACTCTGGTTGATGGATTTCAAGCTAACCAATCAGAGTGCTGTGACAGGTAAATGTAGAGACTTACCTGTCAGTCTCTTCATTTACCTGTCAGAGCACTCTGATTGGATGGCTTAAATCAACCAACCAGAGTGATCTGAGCCTAATTGCAGGGCGGGGCAAGGCTTTATAAGCCTTCCCCCGCTCTGCGGAGCTCAGTCTGCGGGGTGCCCTCCATGGGTGAAGATGGATTCATTTTTCAGTTTCTGGGTTTTTCTTTTTGTCAGATTTTTTTGTCCTCAGGTTTTTTTTTTTTTTTCAAAGTGCGACGGTTATTATGGATTTTTATTTGGCCTTTTTTGGGGCTGAAAAAAGAAGATTTTAGAAAAAAATAAGATTTTAGAAAAAAAAAGAAGACATGAAATGGTAAATTTATTTATTCTTTTACAGGTACTTTGTTATTGGTCCCCCCTCAATATTTTTAGGGTGAGGTGGGTAGGTAGGGGTTTATTAACATTGTTGGGAGGGGGGTGACCAGGGGCTGGGGACCCCTAGTCACCTGAGGGTGGTTACATTTTTATTTAGGGCCTCCACACGCCGCTCAGGGGTGGGGGCCAGGGAGGAGGACAATAGGTCGTCGTCTCCCTATTGGTATTTAGGGCCCCTACCCACCGTTTAGGACCCCTAGTCATCTCGGGGGGTTACATTTTTAATTTAGGGCCCCCACCCGCCGCTCAGGGGTGGGGGCTGGGGGGGAGGGCAATAGGTCCCCCCCTTATTTTACATTAGGGCCCCCCACCAGCCGCTCATAGCTGGGGGCCAGGGGGAGGACAATATTCTAATTTAGGGCCCCCACGCACTGCTCAGGGGTGGGGGATGGGGGGGAGGCAATAGACCCCCCTTCGGTTTAGAAGCCCCCACTCGCGCGGCATGGGTGGGGGCTTGGGAGGGGGGACACAGGTTTTTTTATTTTTATTTTATTTTAACAGTGAGCAGCCACAGGCTGCTCACTGTTTACTAGACATGCCCCTACTCACGGTATAGCGAGTAGGGGCATAATTTACTAATACTAAGTAATCTTTACTTAGTATTAGTAAATTTGGCTGAAAGACCAATTTAGGTCTTTCAGCCTTTTGGTAGATAACTCCCTAATTCCCACGGTATTAGGGAGCTATCTACTTATTCATTCCCATCCATTGACTGGCCACGTAACTTACATTTTATATGAATGTGTGTTACTTGATTGTTGTAAGTGTTGCAAATGCTTACAGCTGAATCCTGCCTGAATATTAGTACTTCGGCAATTCTGTGCTTCGGCACTTCGACACTTCGGCACTTCAGAACGTCGGCAATTTCGGAACTTCGACAATTCGGAACTTCGGCAATTCAGCTATTCGGACATTCGAAAGTATCCGAATGTCCGAATTGCCCGAAATTCGTCCGAATTCACATTCGGAACGAAACGAATTGCACATGTCTAATTATAAGTCATATTCATGTATCATTACCACCTGTAATATGAGGTTTATCTCTTAGGTGGTTTTGCTGGGCAAGATTGAGAAGTATATCTGAAATGTCAAAATAGATTTGTTCATTGGGCTTACATGTTTTACAATGCTTTACATGCTGAGCAAGCTTCTAAATGAACTGTAAGGAGCTGATCAATGCAGCTAAACAGGTGTTACACTAAAATAACATTTATTACAAGCATTGCTACTTTTGCTACATGTTAATACACCCTCTGGGAACCACTTCAAAAATCACTAGACTTACTGTTACTTTATTACAACTGTGCCACACAGACCGTTGCCAGCTGCTGCCTCTCTCCCTCCAGCGCGGCGTTTTCCCATATGAAGCTGGGAGGAAATGACAGTCCATCACTTCCTCCCAGCATCCTAGACTACGGCGGCCCGGACGTGCAATTAATAGGCTGCGGTGCTGACAGAGTCCCTTTGCAGCAATGCCCAATGGGTACATCACTGCGGAACCCCAATTTTGTTCTCGCGGAACCCCAGCATTCTGCGGAACACCAGTTTGGAAACGCTGCTCTAAGGACTGTTTTTTTCCAGTAAGACTTAATAGCAGAAAGGATACCTTTGTTTTAATGTACAATTACTGTACCAGCACGTACTCTGACAATGTGATATTCAAGCATTAAGGTGATGATTATGCACACCCCCTTCTCAACGCTTTCAGTTTTTTTGACGATTTGATCAGACAGCCATTTTTATAAAGTGGGAAACTTTCCCCTGAAATATCTCCGAGTCATCTTGTCTAATATTATATAAAAGATATAATAGCCAGTTCTAAATTCCTTAGTGAGAACTACGTGTAACATGGAGGGGCCCGAAAATAGCTCAGTTAGAGGTACAAATTTATTGGGTGTTTTTCAGTCTCGAGATAACTCTATAAATGGCGCTAACACTGCATGTATATATATATAAAACATACAAGTTCTCGCAGAATGTAATAGTTTTATTTAAAGACATCTCACCTAGTCAAAAATAATGGGGGTTTAGTTACAGTATATACATTACATAAGCCTGCCACAACGTCAATGTACCTCGTTTTTGTCAGGTCCTATCCTAGCTGCCTAATGCCTACTCTATGAGATTAATTCACTTACTTGAGAAATATTTCCTACTGGGACTCTCTGAAGTGCAAGGTTAAATAGGGCCTAGGAAAAGGGCACTAGTGACAGAGAGGGGTGCAAAACTGTTGAGTTGGCCTGGACTCCCAAATATATATATATACAAAACCAAGTGCAGCCCGATGGATGGATGGATGGATAGAGAGGCATTTTGACAAAACAGTGAATGAGCAGACAATAATTTTTATAGTTCCATGTTGTACATGCATTTTATACAGACCTAAACCCATCTACAACACAGAAAACTACAGTTGGAAATTCCAAACACCATACCTCTCAACCTTGGCAGTTCCAGAATTGAGACGCCAGTGGAAGAGGTGTTAAGGGGGCACGACGATCATTTTAGGTGGTTCACTGAGGGCAGGACATGCAGAGACCACTGTTTCAGGGTGCCAAATACAGGATCCACGCTGGGTGCCAAATGCTCTAGGTACGCCCCTGTAAAGGACCCATTGATATTGGGGTACTGTGATGTAGAGGTGGGCTTAACATGATATGGTCATATGATGGAATTGAATCACCATAAATGTTTGCTAAGATAGGTGATTGTAAGTAGCCGTGTAAAATTTTAAACTGTATTACTTTGGTGTGTGAGCTGTTTCTAAATCTGCATTTTGTCTAAACAAAAATCTGCTGCAAGGACTCATTGTCAGAACTGGAAATTCTGTACAAAAACCAGCGAGCGATAATATTAATACGACTTGGGAGGCAGCGAATCTGCTGGGGACAGAGCATCATTAACCCCCACAGTCTTTCACTCTGTTTATATCAAGCACTGATTCTTAATCACTCAATGGGCTCTTCATTCCCTGGGCTCTGTACAAATGGTATCTCTTCAAAATGAGTGCAGGATTTACAATGAGGTGCGAATTAAGCCTTGTCAGAAGATCCTAACGTCTGTTTTGAAGGATCTATTAATATGCACAGGTGGTGTTGCCTCTCACGCACGGCGCAGATTACTGATGGAGGCATTAATATAGCTGGCAGCCTGCGCCTCCGCACCTGGGCAGTGAAAGTGTTTAATAAGCTTGTCATTTCGACTGTTATAAATCCGAGGTAGTTTATCATCATACTGTACCAGGAGAAGCTTTATTTCAAATGCATGTCAGATTTCTTACAACAACAAAAAAATACATGATCTAGGACTCTGCAGGCAGCGTAGTATCTGCCTGCTGGTACATTAAAGGAACACTCCACACACCATAACCACTACAGCAACCTGTAGTGGTTATGGTGCCAATAGTGCCTTGCTGCCCTTCCCATAGCAGGGAGTCAAACCATTTTGGAAAGGTTTGACTTGTTACCTTGGGTCCGTTCGGTGCCTTAACTGCTAATGCTGGAGTTAGATTTCTTAATAGGGTGAGTGTGTGTGTGTGAGTGAGTGTGTGTGTGTGTGTGTGCTAAAGTTTGTGAACCATTTCCAATTTACTTTCATGCACGTGGTGTAAGCAGGACCGGGGCCCCTGATTCACTGCACTAGAGGGAAGCCCTGGATGTAAAAAGCACCAGAAACACTCAGATGTTGTCCATACATTACGTGTTGAGAACGCTAAGAGTGCTCCTGTAAAGAACCATTTCAATGTCAATTGGTTTATGGCACAAGTTACCGCTTATCATCATCACTACGTTATAAAATGGATCAAACAGTCACGTCAGATCTTTCCAAAATGGATCCATTTTGTTTATTATTAACTACCCAATCCCAGATTATCTAATTTAAAGTGGCTCTGTCATCCCCCTTTCAAAAAAACTGAGTATTTCCTGAAAAATAAAAATACTCACATTGACTACTTTGCTATTTTTCCTTCGTTTTCCAAAACTTGACAAAAGCCAGAGCTACCCCCGTCAAGTTTTGTCAATCCCCCACTAGTTACAGCTGTGAAGAAATTTTTTTTGTCTATGGAGGCTCCCATGATCTTATGAGATCCTCCATAGACATCAGTGATGTTCTCTTGTGCATGTGTGAGAGTACAGCACTGATGTTAGTTCCTGGCAGATGAACACCGGGATCTGAAGAAGGACCTCCAAAAGGAGATGAAGGTGGCTGTGAGGTAAAGGTTCAGGTGAGTAAAGCCTACCTTCCCTTGCGCCCCTGGATCACCACACACCAAGTGGCTATGTCACTATTGGAGTTCTTTGTAAATATGAAAAGATCTCAGAAGGTGAAAGAGACACTTTAAGAGCGCGCATTTAACAATGGCCATCAAATTTAATCTCATATTGTAAATTGATACCAATTTCTAACTTTTTGGGATGTTACCTACAGGAAAAGGTTGTCACATTTGTTGATTGTGATCACTCTGGAAACAAGTGATAATGGTTAAAGTCATAATTACCCCAAAGTTAATATTTTACTCTATTACCCTGTAAGCATAGTAAAAAGTACAAGATTATATGTGGGTGTATTTTATGAACACTCAAAGAATATTTTCATAAAAACTTCTAATTTTTTAAACACCGGTGAAGGAAAGTTATTTACATATTCAATACCATCTGCCATTTTATTTTAAAGATAATTATACTTTTACTCCATTATTTTCTGAACACATCTTTCGTTAATGCTGAATGAAGGCTCATCAATTTTAATACAGAATTGTTTTCAGCAATTAAGAGATTTTAGAGTAATGTATTCGCAAGAAATGAAACGATAGCTGGCATCTCAATCAGAACACAGAATATATTAGATAGGAGATGCTTTACATATTAACCATTGAACCTGTGAATGTGGGGGGTTCCGAATAGAAATGAATGAGATAAGTGGTGGTGGGCGAAGCCATTTTCACCTCCCAACCCACGAGGAACTGCCTAACAGACCTTGTAAATATCTGTTACTATGACACAGGTTAGTGAATAATGCTTTGACATGGGCCCTCTGGGAATGTCACTGTGTCTAATACAAGAACATAAGCTACGAGAGGGAAGTCACATCCCATTTTCTGGGAATATTATAGAGATACTCCAGGCATCAATAACACTTTTTTTCTTAATTAAGCAGATTTAAGGTATAGATCACACAACTGCAGTCTCACAGCCCAATTCTCTGCCATTCAGGAGTTAAATTATTTTTGTCTCTTTCCTTGCAGCCCTGGCCACACTTAGCCCTGGTTGTGACTCATGCAGCCTGCATGAAAAAAAGGTGTAATTTTCAATTAGATGTTAACTTACTTTTTTGTCTCCTGCTCTTTAAATTGAACTTTAATCACACCCAGAAGGCTCCTGGATGCTCTAGCAGGCCATTAACAGTGCAGGGAATACAAGTTCCAAATTAAACAGAATGTGCAATAAAGGAAGTTTAAACATTAGAGCTCTTTTTACAGGAAGTGTTTAGGAAGGCTGTGTGACTCACATGCAGGGAGGTGTGGCTAGGGCTGCATAAACAAAGTAATGTAACTTTTAAGTGGCAGACATTTAAGTAGTTAGACTGCAGGGGTATGAATTTATTTTAGTGTTTATCCATTAAAAATTGTAAGAATGTGTAGCAAAGTTTTTTTTTACAAGCTAATTATAAGATTAAAGAATAGGTCACCAAGTTAATTTAATTTAGATTGCACTAGCAGCTGTACTAGGTGAATACAGAATATTTTCAGTAATGTTTGAGCTCCTTAGCAGCCCTGTGAATATGGGAGAGAATGACACGATTACAAGCTCCATTTGAAATCACCGGCCCTGCAAGTATGTGTTTGTTGTGTTAACGCGATGGACACGGCAATCGCTATCATGCAGGATACGATGATACGGACTGGACCCTCCTGGAAAAAGGAACTCTCTCTGTAGTCCCATCTATACCTATTCATATAGCTGGTGGGACTGGAGACCTGTGCAAAAATTTCCCTGCACCTCTTTAGTGCACTTTATCACAAACTTAGGACACTGACAAGTGATGTCATACATTGTCACTGATGTATGACATCACACATCACCTGTTCGACCCCCAAGAACTCCCTATGCCACTTCCCATCTCTGCAAGTTATATAACAACTGAGGGAGCCCCCAAAATACATTTTAGGCATCCTGTATTTTATGGTTTTAGCAAGATCCATGCTGCTCTTTAATCTTACAGCTACACCTTGACTGTTTTTTGGGAGACACATGGCTCCTCAGCGAGAGGGCTACTG